TTCAACTTTTTAACTGTCAGTTGCTACTAATTGTCTTGTAAAAACGACATGTTATTTACTCCTTTTGGTTAAAATTACTTGTTCTGGCTTCATGACCTCTGCTGAGGTGGGAGAGCAGATCCTGGATTGAGTAATTTGGCCAAAGGAAAGGATCTTAATTCTGCAAGCAATTCGTCACTTGGGTGAACAGAGGGTAGGGAAGGTCCTGCAGATGGCAACCTTGCAGCAGGCTCTGTTGCCTTGGCTGGGTAAATGGGACTTGGGGTTTCTGAAGACAGTCTTGGTCAATTAGAGAAAATTAAGAACAAAGTTAGTTTGTTTTTCTATTGTTTATTTGTTTAGTGAAGCCATAACTCTAGAAAAGAATAGATGATGGGATTTACACACACCAGTGGAACAGAACTGCTCACTTTAACTGGAAGCACACCTTCACTGGAGGAAATAACCAAGAGATATTCATAAATATGTAATTTTGACTTGTTTATGAATCCTTCTGTTCCCTTCCTAGGTATTTCTGCTGGCACTGTCACTTGCATTCCTTGGGAAAACCATGTCTGGTGCCTACATGAACAGCATGTACACACAGATAGAGAAACAATTTAATATCCCAGCTTCTTTAGTGGGCATCATTAATGGAAGCTTTGAAATTGGTAATCTTTCATTTTAATATTTTGGATTCTTTGAAAACGTAATGTGTGGTCTGAGCGTGTATTAGTGACTCTCATCTGCTCTCAGTTACTCTGTGTGACAATGGTGGCAAACTCTCATTCTTTTGAGCTGATATGTAACAGTTTCATGTCTTAGAAATTAATAGGACCACTTAAATGGGCAATTTGGGCAAATGGTTCAGCTAATTTCTGCACTATCAAAAGATATGACAGAGCAGCCAACAAAATAGAGCTTGTTTATGAGATGTGTATTGAATCTTTCTGAAGAAAACAAAAAAACCAACTATGTAAACTTTGTTTGAATTGAAGGTCATATTTAGCATTTTGCATTTCCTTTAATTAAACTTGGTTGGAGTGGATTGCGAATCCTTACCTAAACTCAATAATATTTTAAGGTTTTGCACCTGTACAACTGTCCTTTCAAAGGAAGTTTCCAGTTCTACTTTTAGTGCCCCTTACCTTGCCTGTCAGTAAGTTTTATTGTCCACTGATAAATTTAAATGTACATCTTTAAGTGTCATTCAAACCAGTGATTCAACACAGCCTGTTTAGAAATTATACATAAAAAAGGCATTATTTTCTTTCAGAGCATGATGCTCGTCACTCAGAGACATGATTTTGTTCTTCTGACAAAAAGATCATAAAATTAGTAGGTGTAAAAAGATTAAATTGCTATTTTTATAGGCCCTGATTCATAACATGAAGTTTGATTCTTTTCTTAGTTGCATAGCAATAAATGGAGAAAATCAACTGCTTCTAAGTGGAAGTGGAGGAGAGGAAAATGAAAATTTTTAGCACATTTTTGTTTTTAAATGGTACTAGGTATAAAAACCTAGGGTTTTTTTATAAAAACTTTTTTATTCTTAAACAATCACTGCAATTAATATTAATTTTTTTTGTATTATTGTTCTCTTGTGTTTATTATTTTCACTACAAAACCCCTTTTTTATTTCCCTACACATTGCCAAATAGACTATCCAAGGGGAATATTCCTAATAATATTCCTATATGATTCTGCAGTCCTTGGGCCTGATCTCTATGCGGAGTAGTGGGAAATTTATCCTCTATAAAGGTGCACTCAAAAATCTCTCTCACTGTGATCTCTTTTCTATCCTGCCTTTTATTCTCATGTTCTCTTCATGTGATGTAACTCGTTCAAAAACAGATCATACATAGCAGGGAATTACTGCACCATGTAGGCAGTTCCCTGTCTAGTGGCACTTTTTACAAGACAAAAAAAGAAACAGAAGCTGAGCTCACAAGACATGCTCAAATTTGTAACGATTATGGGATGCCTTGGTTTGTAGATGGTGACACAGGTTCTCATTGCAGGTAACTTGCTGCTGATAGCATTTGTGAGTTACTTTGGAGCAAAGCTTCACAGACCCAGGATAATTGCTTTGGGCTGTACAGTTCTGTCTTTTGGATGTCTTTTGATATCACTTCCTCATTTTCTGTTTGGGAGGTGAGTGTTTTGCTTAACTCACAGCAGCTTCTGTGATCCTTCCTCACACATTAATCCATACATCCTTCTACTGAGGGTGTTGCTTATGGGGGGAGACATTGCAAAGCATGGACTCTGCAGTATGATCACTGCAGTTTCTTTGGGTTTGCCCTGAGATGGCTTCAAAAGTCAGTCACCATGTCCTGAGGAGAGTCACCCCTCGGCTGGGCACCTGCCTTTGCTTTCATCCTTTTGCTCCCCCTTGCATGAGCTCTCCCAAGTAACAGGGTTGTGATACTGTCGCTTTTAACTCTTATCTGCTTGGATGGGCAATAGAAATTGTGATTTTAAAAGATCTCCTGGTCTGGAACCTGGATGACAGATCATACCTGGTCACCGTGTCGGCAAGAATGAAATAATCTAAATTGGGTATTATCAATCATCACAAACTGTCACAGCAAAATGACAGTGTTATGTAAGTCTTTTTTAACCTGAAAAATGCAGAGTGAAACCTGGGACTCTGTCTTCTTCACACTTCTAGGAATTTATTCAGAGAAAGAGACCTCCCAGAGAACAAGAAATAGATGTTTCTCAAGCTATTTTCACTGCCAAATTAATTTCTTATATCCAAAGCGCAGAGATGCCTGTTCTGACTAAAAGAATATCTAAAATCAAATTTAGTACTGACCATTTTGTACTGACCATAATGATCCTTTAACTGCTTTTAAATTATTTTTTGCTTGGCTTAAAAGAAATAACAATGTAAGCTTGTGCAGGCTTTAATCAGCAGGGTATTTTTTGGTCCTTCAGTCTTGTTGTGTGCAGTGTGGAATGGCTCTGACAGCCTTGGCAGCACCCTCTGTTAACTTTTGACATGGATTCCCTTCTTTCTACAGCTGCACACTCTTATAGGTAGCTCCATTACTCCAGCACAGACAAATGTTCTTTGTTTCCAACAGGTATCATATTGAAAGCAGCATTTCACAACGGGAAAATGTTTCAGTGATGCCTCTGTGCCTTGTTAATCAAAACTTGTCCTCTTTGCCTACAGAGGAACCATCAACAGGTTGACTTTTCCTATGTCTGTTAATATTTTTTTTTCTGTGTCTATAGTGTCTAAATAAATAAATTCAGGGTTCTGCTTTTGACCAGTACTTTTTGAAAACCTATGAACTACAGGTCAGGAAGTTTCCTGGACTTTGTGTTTCTTTGGTCTGTGACTCCAGAGCTAAAACATTTCTTTCATGTAGTTTTCACATTATCCTGGCAGTTCAATGAATATCTCTGGCATTCCACTTTGGGATAGTATAACACCAGGTTGTTCTCACAATTATTCCTCTTTTTAATTTGAAATTCTCTGATACCATGAGGAGATGGGAAGCATATTTCAGCAATGGGTAAGAGGCATAAGGATGTTTTTTGTTGTACCATGTGGGAAATAAAAGAATGAGAAATAGAGCTAGAACTAAAACATAGATCTCACTTCCTTTTAGAGAAAATAGTTTGAACTAGGCTAACACTTATCTGTGGGACTGAAACATGTATGTGCACTAGCAATGTGCATGTAAAGGAACTACTGGGAAGTCAAAGGGCTCAGAGGAAACCATTTCACGAGCACACACAAAATTCTTGTGCTGGGGGCGGGATTAATCTCCTGGGTTTTTAGCTGCCTCAAAGGGAAACGTTCCGTCTGAACCATCCCCTTAGACTCCCTTGATAGCTGGGCAGAGGAGACCACCGAGCTCCTGCAGAGCTTGCTGTAAGGGGAAAGAGAACTGACAATGGGGGACAGCATCATGAAGTCACCCCAGGACAGACATTCACGCTCTGTACCTTAGGATGGATCAGATTACCTCGTGGGTGGGCCTCTGACTGCTGGAGGCTTTGCTGGATGGTAAAAGTGAGGTGACCTGAACCCCAGAGCTCATTGTTAAACTTCGTAATGGAGTTCCATCAAAGTGTGCTAAAGCTGAATCCCACTGCTGTAATTAATAGCTGAGTGGGGTGGCATCGAACTACAGCCTTGTGCTGGGGTTTTCTGGGTCTCCATTTAGTGATGGATGCAGCTTCCAAGCTTTCCAAGGCAGTTGTTAATTTTTGCATCTTCACAAAAAGAAGTGAAATCTGCACATCTAACAGCACCTGGCACTAACCTTTCACTTGAAGGTTTCAGACACTTTCTGAAGTTTTTCCCATTTTATAAATGTAAACTAAAGGTATAGAAAGGTAAATAATTTTTATCTAAATTATGTACAACCACTCAATATGCACATTGATCCTCATGCCTATGAATATACTTGGGTAAGGTGACTGTTTTTTTATTAAATAATTTTCATCTAAATTATTTACAACCATTTAATATGCACACAGATCCCATAGATCCTCATGCCTATTAAAATAAGATGATTGTTTCTTTGTTGGTTTATGGACAAGGAAGACTGTGATATTCATATATATGAGTCCATTTCCTGTGTGAAAACTGGACTGAATGTGACCACATCTGCATGTGGATTGCTTCTCCTGCATTTACTGACAGCAACCTGACATTGAAACAGGAGATCTGGGTTTCATCTGTGGTCAGTCACCCAGAAAGGCAGCAGCTGCTGCTAACAAAGCTGGTTTTTATTGGTTAATGAATTTGCACTGAGAAATTTCAGCATGACAAAGTGGGAGAGAGTAGTGGAATCTGAAGCAGACTATGGGATGAAGAAGTCCCAGTTCAAGGAGAGAAAGGAAGTAAAACTGTATTGTGACCAGTTACTATTTTTTTTTTCTTGTACGACAGGCCTACCCACCGAAGCTTACGCTATGGGTCAATTCTTTGTCTCTAGATTTTCATTAATAGTTGTGACTAAAACATTCATTCTGATTTTTTGTTTTATCCACAGAGTGTGAAAATGTGCCTGGGTCCCTGCTGTGGATTGTTGTGATGGTTGGAAACATAGTGCGAGGAATGGGTGAAACTCCCATCATGCCTTTAGGCATTTCCTATTTGGAGGATTTTTCCAAAGCAGAGAATTCACCTTTCTACCTGGGTAAATCCACCCTGTTGTGATAATTCCCCTTCTCCAAACACACACACACATACAAAAAAAAAAACCAAAAAAAAAAAAAAAAACCGCAAAAGAAAGGATTATTATGATGCCCTTGAGTCCAATAAAGGAAGTCATCAAACAGTAATTACTGCCTTATCAAAATAATAATAATTTTGTAGAACTTGTAATTTAACCAGAGAGAAACTTGTTGGAATTAGGCCATTTTTAGGGGCAAATGCTTTCCCAGTAGAGCCGTCCTAATAATATGTAACACTTCCAAGAAGATAATTATGACTGGGTTCTAATTTAGAATGTTTTCTCTTTTTCCTACTCTAGCATGTCTACATACAGCAACTGTAATTGGCCCCTTCCTTGGTTTATTGTTGGCTTCATTCTGTGCAGAGCTGTTTGTTGACATTGGATCAGTTGTTGCAGGTAAGGGGTGAACATATCAAACCTTATTTTTAAGTCTGTAGATGGTGTATGTTTCAGAGCTAAAAGATGTTTCCTTGCTAATATTGAGTTAATCCCACTTGAGTTTGTTGGTGTTTCCTTTAGAATGGACGATTTGTATATGATATTCAATTCATATATACACAAATCAATCTGCTTACACAAATCAAATTATTTGATGAAAAACTGTATCATCTGGCTTATCAGAGGAAAGCACTAGAATTAATTAAATACAAGCCACTGAAATTTGCAAGAAAATTAGCAACATTAGAAAAGAAGGCTGGAGAATATTCTCCTTGATGAGCCTCATTTTAAGAATCATTAAAATGCTTTTATGTCAGAGATGACTGGGAAAGCACCAAATGACAACAAAGATGTTTCTGAAGTGATCCAAGAGGTCTGGTTTGTGTTTTATCCTAGATGAGATAACCATAACAGCTACTGATGCCCGCTGGGTTGGAGCATGGTGGCTGGGCATTTTGATTTGTGCACTGCTCAATCTCCTCGTGGCACTACCATTTTGGTTTTTGCCCAAGTCACTTGTGAAGGAAGGTGAAACCAATGAACCTGAAGAGACAAGTGAAAAAAGTGCAACACCATTGCAAGAAAATGATAAAAATGAAGCCAAACAGACCATGTATGAAATTGCTAAAGGCAAGTTGTATTGCATTTTATTTCCTTCTAACTTTAGTCCTAAGGTATGAACTCTGTGTATTGTGTAATTATAGATGAGTCCAAGATGTGCAGTGCATGCTGTGCTTTGATGTCTCTGTAGTTCAAGAGACTTGTGCAGGAATTTAGAATGGCTCCTTGCAGAGGAAGAAAGCTGATTTCATAGATCTAGGATCTGGATCCTTCCTTTTCCCCTCCTGCAATTCAGGTGAATGTAGAACTTTTCTTCACATTAGAGGGCTGAAGTTCTGAAATCTGGTTAGGAATATTACAACTCAGCCAGCTGTGGGTGAGGTGCAGATACTGGTTGCTTGTACCCCACATTCACTGTGCAGAAAAGCACCCAACGTAAATCTTGTGCATTTCTTGAGTCCAACTAGCTCTAAAAGGGAATTGACAGGTGCTTATGTGTCTCATAAACATTAAATTATGCTCAACAAAGATGTATTTGATTCACATTTATTCATGTTACCATTAGCAGCTTTCACATCCATTGTCTTTCAATTGTATGGATTTGTAGAAGGGTATTTTTTTCCTTCCTTTTTTGAAGGAAAAATCCTTCCTACATTTCCTGGTTGGAAATGTAAATGAATAAACTATGTCAAAGGCTATGATCTTCAGAGTAGCCTGTCCTGCTCAGGGCCCTCTGACATTTTCAGCAAGCAAGTTCCAAGTGGCAGCTCCACTCTGTGCTGTTTCCTGCTGGATTCTGCAATAGGTCTTGGCTGATATTGCAGCTGCATTTTGATAAACAGAGCTGTCACCTAGCCTTAAATGAATCCATGACTAAAAAACTGTTCTCCCAGCTCAGATGTGGGTCCTTAGTGCTCCAGAGTCCCTTCAGAGCTGTGTTTTCATGGCCATTCCCTCCCTGTGTTGGTGGGGATGCTCACTGTTCCTGAATATCCTGAATATAGAAGCTTTTCATTCCACAGGATAGTTGTAGTTGCAAGGGACTTCTGGAGGTCACCTGGTCCAACCCCTGTTCAACCACTTGCAGCCTATTGACCAGGACATATTCAGACAACTTTTTAACCATCAGGGATTTCAAGTTGAAACTTGATGTTTTTCTAGTTAAAAAAACATAAAATAAAATTAATTTAATAACAATAACATTTCCTTAAGAAGCTCTGATCAAAAATGTCACTGCATCTGTAAATAATGCAGCCTATTTATAGTGTTTCTAATACTTGACTAATTTTTGAAAGATTTGCATACAGATCTTCTTTTAATAAGTTACTTGCTTAGCTCTGAATGTATACACCCCTCCTAAGTGGTGCCCACTTTCATTGTTTCGTAGATGCTTATGTTTATCTGCAGAGTTTCTTGACAATAGCTCAGCACACTGATTAACAGAGAACACTAGGCAAAGGGAAATTGTGGGTCTTTTCTTATGGTTCAAATCCTGACTTAATGGGCATTACTCAGAGAAAAGACCTGTGTAAATCAGTTTCTCAGGTGCTAACATGGCTGAAAACTGGCTGATACAGATTTTGAGAGGATGGTGGGAATAACTGTGTTCACAGCTCTTTTCAGGCCTCCTCTGCCCCAGCAGCAAACCCCAAAATCAGTGCTCAGGTCTCAGATTTAGCCTGATCCAGTTCAGGACCATTTCTGTTCCCCTATTTCCCCCACAGACATGCTGAGCAATTGGTCATTCTTTTCATAAGGCATCACACTAACTCATGGCATTATTTCATTGCAGATTTCATCCCCTTCCTCAAGGCTCTGTTCCACAACCCTGTGTATATGTTATTTATATGCATAACTGTGTTGCAGTTCAGTGCCTTTGATGGCATGATATCCTTCATGCCCAAATATTTGGAACAGCAGTTTGGAAAATCTGCATCAGATGCCATCTTTTTAATTGGTATGTTTGCATTTTGCTTTATTCTATCAATTAGTGATGTCTCTATTCAAATTATCTCTATTTTATATATATATATATGTTCATGTGTATTTACATATGCATACTAAGGTTAAATGCTTCTACAGGTGAGGGATGTCACATTAAAAAGCATTTCTAAATGTTAATGCATTTTCTCCTGAAGATCTAAGTTTTTGTGCACAATTTTATTATCTAATTCCCATCTTTTGGATTGGCTCAGAAAATTCAGCTGATACGAAACTCAGCCATTTGATGTTTGTGTAAAACCACTTCCAACGTGTCTTTCAGTCAGAATTTTCCTCTTTTAAGCATCAATCATTAAAACAGTGTGAGAGCATATTCAATAATCTCATCTCAAAACTGAAAGTCTGTTCCTCCTTTCTGTCATGCTTAGAATGCATTAAGATGTACCTTAATTAAGATGTGCACTTAATTAAGATGTGTACAGATCTTTCTGTTGAGTTTCTCAGTCAGCTGGAGAAGCTGGATTGAAACCATATAATTTTTTTGGTCTTTTTTTTAGTTGTACCAAGAGTGCAACTCTAGATTGCCATTTTCTAATTAATCATTTTGGCCCTACCCTGTAGCTCACTCCCCAAGCAGTTCTCACCTGCTGTTGACTTTGGCAGAGGTTTTGGGTGTGAAAGGAAATTAGCAGAGACCCATTTCTGATTGGACTTAAATTATTCAGTCCCAGGCCCTCTTTGAGTCGTTGCCAAACACAACCTTCCCTTACAGCAGCTATAGTGGCTCCTTCTCTAGCTGCCCTGTAGTAGAGTAGCTTTGATGGTCTCCTTTGTTTTAACATGGAAGTTTCACTTGTTTAACTAGGTGTTTACAACTTGCCAGTTCTATGCGTTGGGTATTTTTCTGGCGGCTTATTCATGAAGAAATTCAAGATTAATCTCTATCAGGCTGCGAACATAGCATTTTGGGTATCTTTACTGGAATACCTTCTCTACTTTGCTGCCTATTGGACTGTCTGTGATACCTCACCAGTTGCTGGTCTAACAGTTTCCTATCAAGGGTATGTTCTTTGGGACTCAGCAGGACTTCAGTCTTAAGACACCAGGATGATTTTTCTTGTCAAGAATCAGCCAGGAGTTCAATTTCAGTTCCCTATTCTAAATTCTCAAGGCTTTTTACCTGCATTAAACAGTAGGTCTGTTATGCCTGTTTCAAACATCAAAAGTGTATTTAAAAAGATATCCTCATCAAGACTCATGCAATTGCATGTCCATATTAATTCTTTTACTGATACAATTAGTGAAGCAATGTAACTGCAGGTGAAAATAAAAATTGTTGGTCAAATCAGGTATACGTGAGGGCAATTTCAGAATAAGAGAGGAAAAAATCCCCTTCTTGATCTTACACTGGTTTACTCTAATTTGATTACTATCAAGTTATCAGAGGATATTTTATCTGCAGTTTCTTGATTTGAAGCCTGCCATTGATCATTGGGAATCATAGAATGGTTTGGGTTGGAAGAGTTCTTAAAGAGCCTCTATTTCCAACCTCCCTGCCATGGGCAGGGACATCTTCCACTAGAGCAGGTTGTGCTGTGTGTCTGTAAAATGTACATGGAGGTGTAGATGCAACACTTATGGACAATTAAGAGCATACATGCCATAGATGAGAAAAAAGCTTTGTCATCATTTTCATAGACGAGAAAAAAGCTATTCATTTATAGTATTAATGTAATATAATACAATTTAGTGTCCTATAGAAAGACTGAAAGGCATGACTTCAGGGCAGGAGCATGTAGGATTGGGTCCTGATACAACACTTGAGCCAGAATAGAATCTTAAGCATTGCAGAGGGTTACTGTGGGTATCTCATTACTGAAATATTTATTCATCTTCTAAATGTGTTTCAGAATAGATCAAGTTTCATATGCAGAAAATACTCTACTGGCTAGCTGCAACATGGATTGTGATTGCCCACTTAAAATATGGGACCCTGTTTGTGGGAACAATGGAATCACTTACGTGTCACCGTGTCTGGCTGGGTGTAAATCCTCAAGAGGAGCTGGAAGAAGTTTGGTAAAGCATACATCTTATTGTACTGTAACTATGAAACATAGTAGGTGGCGAGTATTTATGCCAATATAGGGTGGGGAATATCCATGCATGTACATTTAATTGAATATATAAGATGAAATATTTGAACAAATTCATTGAGTAGCAACAGAAATTTCAAACTGCATATGAATATCAGTTTAAATTAAAAAGTAGAATGAAGAAGAATTCTTCTCTATTAAGAACCAAAGGAATATTAAATGCTTAACATGGAGTGAGAAATTATTCTGAAGGTGTTGCCAATTGGAAACCTGAGTGCCCAAGAACATTTCAGACAAGATGAAAGTCTATAGCATGGACTTAATAATGTCTTTTACCCTGTAGATTTAAACAAGTAACCAGGTATTATAGAAATTTTATCCCCAAATACAGGGGATGGCTGGACCTGTGCCTGGCCGACTGGGAGAGAGGCCACAGTGCAGTGCTGCTCGTGAGTAACAGACTCAAGGGCAGGAGACAGTGAGATGGGTGCCAACAGTGTGGGTTTGCTACTCAGAGTTTGAGTTTGGACAATCTGTGTGATTAAAATACTCTTTTGATAGGTATTTGAGAACTGCACCTGTGTTGCAGCCTCCGGGTTTTCTTCTCCAAACATCTCTGCAACTCTGGGCCAGTGTGATGGACATGAAAGCTGTGACAAGATGCTCCATTATTTTTTAATATTGACATTAGTCTGCAGCTTCATTTTTTCCTTAGCAGCCATGCCTGGATACATGGTCTTAATAAGGTACAGTAAAATTTCCTTGTCTTATGAAATCTACCGGACTTTTTATTATGACTCCAGGGAATTAAAAGGTGTTTAGTTTGCATACAGAAGGAGGAAGAGCAGAAAAAACTGATGTCATTTCTATGCTGTTAAGGTTTAATGTCATGTCACTTTTGTAATCTGATACTGCTTCTGGCTGTCAGCTTTATCCTGAAGAAATGCAGAACCCCTGCATCAGGGCACTGGGATATTGAGTGGTGTGTGATACCTGTGTGTTTATCAATCACAGGAACATGATGTTGATTAAGGCACAACTTCCCTGCACTTTGTGTTGGCCTCAGTACCATACCTTGACAGTAGCTTTTCCTTTTGTGATTTGGCAGTCCTAGATAAGGAACTTTTCAGCAAACACCACTTAATGAGCATAATGAGATCATTATTAAAATGGTTCAGGCCTAATACTTGATTTAAGAAAAAGGGTTACATCTCTTATTAATGTCACCTCTACAAATAAATGTACAATGCAATTATCATGCAGGTCTCTAAAGCCTGAACAGAAGTCATTTGGAGTGGGTATCCATGGGCTGGCCTCAAGAGTATTTGGTAAGAAAATATCTTACACACTTCAGAAGAAGAGTTAGGGCTGACCTAGAGTTAGAGACAGATCACATCAGGGCTATGGGCATGGCACTGGAGTCATTGCTTCTATGGAATGCCTTTGATCAGAAACCATTAGGTTGTTTTTTTTTTTTTTTTTTTTACAGCTCTCAGAGCATGGCAAAGTAGAACTGCTTGCAGTTTGCAGTTTTTTAATACTGGGTAATAGGCTGGTATCTTGGTTTAACCCCAGTCAGGGTCTAAGTACTATGCATCCACTTATTCTCCTCCCACATGGAATAGGGAGGAGAGTTAGGTAGAACACACAGGTTAAGAAATGAATAGTTTAGTAATGAAATAAAGTAAAATATAATAATAGTAGGAAAGATAGAGAGATGAATAAAACAAAAGAAAGAAAAGTGATGCAGAATAAAATTGTTTGTGGCCTGTTGACCAATACCCATCCACTCTCAAGTAGCAATCTGTCCCTCCCTGACACTTCTCTCCACTCTGTGTACGAAGCATGACACTGCAGGTTATGGAATTTCCCTTTGGCCAGTTTGGGCCAGCTGTCCTGGCCATGCTCCCCCTGGTTTCCTGTGCAGCTACTCACGAACACAGAAAACTCCTTGATGTCAGCACTCCTAAGCAGCAACCAAAACATTGGTGTGTTGTGGACATTATTCTGATATTAAATCCAAGCCACAGCACTGTATCAGCTGCTAGGAAGAAAATTCACTGTATTCCAGCAGAAACCAGGACACAGGACTACATCTGCTGCTTATTGGAAAGCCATTTGACATTCCTTCATTCTTGCTTATTGTTTATGTTTATTGGAGGCAGCATTGCCTCTCATTGATGAGAGAAAACCTTGAGTTCTGAATAGGAAACACAGTCCATGCTGCTGCATGTGGGTATTCTTTAACAGCAGGCAGCAGGGAAGAACATCTTTGGCTGAGGTAGGTGGGTAAGGAAGGAGAGGGAGCACAAGATATGCAGAGAACGAGGCTTGTGCTGCAAGAGGACAGTACAGATGGAGCAGGTGACAAACAGCATAGGCTCTGTGGTGTATCTGATAACCAAAAGAAAATTGCTGTTCAAAGAAATGTTGCTAATGTTTTTTTTTTAGCTGGAATTCCATCTCCCATTTATTTTGGAGCATTGATAGATACCACTTGCTTGAAGTGGGGTTCTATGACTTGTGGTGGAGAAGGAGCATGTAGGATGTATGATATTGTCACATACAGGTATGTTTTCTGCTTTATTTTAATTTATCCTTCTTACTCTATTATTGCATGCATAGAGACATAATTTTATGCACTTTATGTCTCCCTAGCACACAAACTGTTCCTGTGATAGAGATATGACAATTTTATTTGGCATTGGCTTTATTTGCAAAGTGCAACCTTTGACAAAGACATTGTAAAAACCTTTGAACAGAAATGTTCTGGTGCCATAATATTCACTAATAACCTTTCCTGAGGACAAGCTCTGAACACTGAATTATGATAAAAATACTGAAAAGCAGTTAGCTTATGTGGGAAAAAGTTTCAATGGGTGACTGCAATATCTTTGAACAGGAAATGGTTGAAACAGTACTTGATTTTAAAAAAGAAGACTTTTATGGAGAAGATACAGTTACTCAAGTTGGAAATTGGCCCAGAATACTGCATGTCATGTTTTTGTAGTCCTTCAAGGATTGATGTGCAATTTTAAAAGAAAAATCTTTTTGAACTTGTGGCCTTATACTAATTCCTGGTAATACTGTGTTGAGGTTGGTTTGGAAGGGTGTTCTTAGGATACTTAGAAATTTTAACCAGGTAGTCTGAGCACTTTCAGGACTCTCTCTTTTCCCTATGGATAAAGTCATAAGAGTACCAGGTACCTGACTTGACTGGCTAAATAATTTGCCTGAAATCAGAAGATGTAAAAGGCCATTTTGCTGGCTGACATATTCCCTTTTCTCACACTCTCATCTTCTGTGAGACCCAAAAGTATCAGGGCACAGGCTTTAGAGTGGCTGTGTAACCTTCACAAAACAATGTTTGCTGAATTGTTTTGCCCTTTTTTTACAAATGCATGTATTTATTGGAACTCGTTATTTATTTCAGGTGGCTCTATCTTGGCCTGCCAGCAGTGTTACGTGGAGTGTCCTACATCCCAAGCACACTAGTTCTCCTCACTTTAAAGAAGAAACTGAAATCTGAAAAGCCAGTCCTATTAAATGAACCAATAGAAATGCAGGATAAAAGACAAGAAGCAGTGAAATAGCATCACACAGAAGGACATGTTGGGAAAACCATTGCAGTGTAAATATTGGATATATCCTTGTGAAAAATTTTTTACTTTAAGTAAGGAACACTTGGACAGAGATTAATAGAATTACACATAGTTGTATCCTACTTACATTATAAAAGTATCAGTTTATAAACACAAGGCATGGGAAAGATATATTTGGTGCAAAAAACAAGGACTAGAAATAAAAAAATTTATGAAATGCCAGGTTTGAGTTGTTTGAGCAAAGGGCTACGAAGCAGGAACATATGCGTTCAGTCCTGCTTCATTGAAAATAGAGAGAATTTTGCATTTGACTCTGAGTGATACCAGATTTCATCTAGGAATTCTCACATGGTTTCTGTCAGAATGTCATTGACTGTAGACAAAATTTGTGGCTTCTTCATGTCCCAGTTTTCCATAAATTTATTTAATGATATTAGTCCTTTCAGGCAGAGATTATTTGTTATTCTACATAGTATAGATGGTCGATATTTTGTAAACCTGGTTTATGACATGGTCTGGGTGTTGTGGTAATAACAATAAATTTTAAAAATTACATTTTTTTAAAAATGCTGTGTTATGGCGATGTTTTAAGATTTGCATAGAGCATTAACAAGGAAAGGTCATCAGGAATCATTACTTCAGCTGCCTGCTGCCCTGGGATGTCTTAAATAGCTAGGGAAATAAAACCCTAAATATCTCAGGTAAAAAAAAAAAAAAAAGAATACCCTGCTGATATAAGTCATACAAGGTGTCTCTGTGGTTTAATGCATTCACGTTTAGCATCTAATTTGGCACTGCCTCATGTTGGGCCCCAGTGCAGAGGACCCTTAGGTCTGTCTTCAGTGTCCATGCAATAACTTCTTGAGGCTTTTTATTACAGGTCCTGGTTATTTTATTTGATTTATTTGCTTATAGGTCCTGGTTGTCCTACTACATAAGGCATGCAGGGAGTTTGTAGAACTATCACAGACCAACGCTCCAGCACCTGCAAATATTTCCTACTAATTTATTCTATGTGGCACAGACCTGCTCCCATTCAAACCACCTGGGATTTTCTGCAGCCACCAAAAAGTGGGAAGGATATTCTGCCACAGTAGTTCATTAGTCCAGTTACAATCTGATTACTTCCAGGTGTCTTGTTGACATCAGATGTGTATGTGTGCTTGGAATTGCTTCCTGTCCTTGTGGAGTTAGTGAGAAAAGATCCATTTCCTTCCACAGAGCAGGAAATCAGCTCCAAAATGGAAAGTTTCTTCAAATACAAGTGATCCTTAAAACTGATTATTTTGAAAAGTTCTGTCAACTTTCTATCTTCCTTTTTAATAGATGATAGAGCTGAACATGAGGAAGGGAAATGGAAGAAATACAAACATGATGCAGCCAGGAGCAGAGCAGAACAGAGAATGCAGCTCCCTGTTCAACCACAGACATCCCAGAAGCTTTGTGGACATTTGAAGCTGATTTTGAGCATTGTTCTTGCTAGCATGGGGCACTCACTGGAAGCCATCGTTCTTCCTTGTGGTCACATTCCTCCAAAGATGGAGTTAAAAACCCTTTGCAGACATTTAATCACAGCATGGTGCCAAGGTAACCTGGGAAACACAAATGTTACAGAGCAGCAGAATTTCACAGCTGTGGGAAACAAAAGGGCTTTGTTAGGTAGGCAAATCTGTGCCACTTACACGGAGCACTGCCAAAGGGTCAGACCTAGTGAAATCCCTGTGTTTTGAAGTGGAAGGAAGCAGATAGGAATATTTCCAAGTTTTAAAATTAGCATTCCTGCAGGAATGTGTCCAAGTCTTAAATTTAGCATTTCAGTGGATATGTTAACATTGTGTTTAATTGTTCTGCTTCACCTGTCTGAGAATATAACAGTGAAAAAGACCCAGGTTGTGTGTTTAGGTAGGCAGTGCTGGGTGGGTGACAGCTCCTTAGAGAAGTTTCTGGGCATAAACCTGTGGTGGGAACATTGCTTCTCCAGAGCAGAGCCAGGAAAGAGGGAGTGCTGTTTGTGTCAAGGTGATCCTCAGAAATCCTGGTACCACAGACATTCATTCCTAGAACTGGGTTTGAAGTTAGAAAATTACTCTTAAAGCTAGTCCTTTAAATGTAAAGCCAAGTTTTGGACTGGATTCCTTCAAGCTTTAGCATGCTGACCCAAATTCAGCATACCATTTAAACACAGGCTTAAAAAATGAGTGGCCTTATTGATGTTTTTTGTTTAAATACGTGATACTGGACATTGCAAGAGTGAACCCCAAGCTGACACTGTTGTGACCCCCATTTGAACACAGGTGGGGTGCAGAAGGTATTCAGAAGGCTTTCATTGTGCTTGAATGTTTGCTCTGGTCCTGGTCTGATGTCCCAAGCACCAAGAGCTGTGTCAGCACTGGGAGTAGCACAAGCCACAAATGGGCGTAATGGCAATAGAAGTAACAGTGGTATAAAGTTTATAAAGCAACAGCAGATGCATGTCTGAGCTGATAAAGGCTATATTAAATTATAAAAATGGGTGGTAGGTTTATTTTCTGAGTGCCTGGGAGCTCAGCAGATGGCTTTCACTACCAACCACTCTGCCACTGAAGTTTCAACCCAGTAAAGAGTGCCCAGGAGCTGAATTTTGATCCTTGATCCTACAAAGTGGAAGGCTGGGTGTTGGTGCCTGGATATGGATGTTATCAGGCACCAAGAAACAAACACTTGAAGCTTTTTGGGTAATATGATTATCTTGGAGGTATTTTAAAGGCAATGATACACCAACTGTGCACACAAGTGTTTACCTAGTATTTTTGACATGTATTTATCTAGCATTTTGTACTCAAGGTCTTTTGTAATGTTCTTTGATGTTCCATTGTGTTTTTTTGACTGTGACCAGCTGTTGAGCCATCATTTTCAACTGTTGAGCCATAATTTTCAAAGAAATAACAAATCTTGTCTCACTGAAAAACGTCAATGCTTTTGTAAAATGCACATCTCTGAGCATGCTGTGTGGGGTTTCTTTGTTTATTTTCACTATTTTCTCTGTATTTTAATATCATCAGGTACTTAATTGCCAAGCCTCTCATTAGTTTACAGTCTTATCTATATCCTAAAAAGGCCTGTGTCTGGTATAAACTTCATTGTTGCCCTGCTGCTTCCAATTTTTAAGAACTGAAACCTATTCTTGATGCGTGTGATAAGCATTTCTGATTATGCATATTGCCCAAGCTATGATCATGGTTTTTCTATTTTTTTTAATTGAGAGAAAATTACTCATTTGGGAGGCAAATATGTTACCTGACAAGCTGATTTTAATTAGTGGACAGAAAGGAGATGTGATGACCAAATCTGCATCCTTACACTGTTATTTGGTTGAGGTCATGTCTGACTGTGATATGATGCTGGCTTTGTTTGTGATACAAACCAATTGTACTAACATGTGCAGTCTCTGAACACATGAGCATCACAATTTTGGGTTTTACTGACAGCTTCAGTTTACTTCCGTGTTCTGTAATTCCATCTGTGGTGAACAGTGGGCTGTTATTGTGACCTTTCTATCTCAAGTGGAGTTTTTAGCAGCTAACTCTTCCCTACAGGCTTTTCTCATATAAGCAAACCATGGTACCAGAAGCTAATTCAGCCTGTGGCTGTGGGGAGGAACACTCTAAGAATACCTGGGTTGGGATTTGGCATGCAAAGAAGCCAAATTACTTTTCAGTTTATGTAAGTCTACTCATGTGACACAAACTGGATATGTCCAGCAACAACTTCTTGGCTACTGCTGCTTTTTTTTCTTCCACACAGAATTGTTGTTAGTCTTTTCCTTTCTTAACAAGGCATGAAGTGTTCCCAGTTATGATGCTTGGGATTTTGAACTTTCTTTGTTTAGGGCTTTCTCTGAGAATGCAGAAATTACCTGGTAATTGCCCCTCTCTTGCTTTGACCAGGGAACGAAGGGCATATATTTCTTAAATCACAGCAGGCTGAAATCACAGGATAAAACACACAGGATCCCTTTGGAAGGTGAAATCTTAGTTATTGCAATGCCTGACTTTCCTTCTAGAAGAGACCATTCCGTAGCTCCAGGCCAGAAGTGTGGCTATTCTAAAAGTAGTAAACTAAGTAAAATTTTAAGTTTTGTTCTTTTACATTATTGTTAAGAAAGATAAATTTGTAAGAAAAAGAGAAGTATCCTAAAAGTTTTATTCTAATTCTTATTACTCTCTCTTTTAGTTACTGTTAATAAATTTTTCTTTATACCCTTTTAAAAGTTTTAAACCTTTCCCCTAATCCTATATCACAACAACAACAAAAAAAAGTAACTGCATTCCAATAAGTGCACTAGTAATTAGCCAACACTAAACCCACCACACTCATTAGTACATGAACCAAAAAAATCTCAAATTAGCAAACCAAAACCACTACATATGTGCCTATTAATTTCCAGGGGAGGTGCTCAGGGCTTTTGCTCAGGTGTGTGATCTTGGGTGGCAGCTTGCTGGATCCTTACAACCTGGGCAGAGCAAGAGGAAGGTCTTTACCTGGAGGGCAGAAAGCCCCATTACAGGTGGGAAATGGTGGTTTGAAAGAAGGAGGTTTGGCTTTTTAAAAGGCCTTGCCCCCCTGTGTTGGTGGAAAGGCTGCCTGGCTTTGTGAGTCTATCACTTAAATGGTTCCAAAACCAGCTTTGAAAAAACAAACTTCTCATTTGAGGTTAATGAGACATAGGGTGGGCCAGTTCATGCTGTACCTTTGCTGCTCCCATTGTTCCAAGGCAGCTCTCTGGATGGCAGAGTGCAGGCAGCTGCCTGCTGCCTGGTACCCCATGACTTTTCCTTCTTCTCAAGGAAACTTTCTGATATAAAGACACAATCATATGGAAAACAAGCTTCAGTTTTGGCAGAAACTTTCAGAATTTAAAAAAAATCCCAAGACAACACAAGACTCATTAGGTGGTGGTGTGTTTTGTTTGGTTGGTTGGGTTTTTTTTTTTTTTTGTTATTCTTTTATTTTTGTTTGATTTTTATTTTGTTTTGCTTTTAGTGGTGATGTAGTTTTTTACCTCCCATGGTAAATCTGAATGTTCTTCCTGGTGAGTTTGTATACTAGGACAATAGCATTAGCAATGCTGCTGCTTTGTGAGTTCTACTTCCATGACCAGGATCTTGCAGAAATATTCCTTTCACATATCTATATGTGTATAAATATATACATTATTATATATAAATATATTTATATATAAATAATATACACAAATATATAATGCGTATATATGTATATAAATATATATTATATATAATTTTTATATAGAAAAATATATGTATATATAAAAATATATTATATTTATATATAAATATAAATATTTTTACATGTTTGTGCACACAGACACCTTGTTTCAGACATAGACAACTTTTTTTATGCCCTCTGTCAATTTTCCAGCATTCCAGTTTAACAGATGGAGTCAGCTAAAGGACTTCCCTTTCCATTTGGATTATTTTTCTCTTGAAATCCCATCCTGAGAGTTGGAGAAGTTATTTCTAGGATCAAATATAAGAAAGAAAAAACTATTAATTGTTTCCAAGTTCCTC